CCGAAGACCGTCCTAGGGTACTTACCTACCTCCGCAGAGGAACTAGGGTACGAAGCGTATAAATACGGCCTTTACCCGATCTATCTATAGACCTGCTCTTCTTACGACTCCTCTCAGGAACGAAGGAGGTCCTTACAGTTATCAACGTATATAACGCCCTTCGTAGCTCTCTGCGATCTGGCCAGGCTCTCAGGAACATCCTAGGGGCCTGGCAACCCAAACCTGAGGATCGAGTACTGATTGCGGGGGATTTTAACTTACACCATTAGACGTAGCAGCCCGAGGCCACGAGTTCCCCGGACGCTGAAAACCTAGTAGAATGGGCAGAAGCCGCTAGCCTTGTCCTAATGTCACCTATAGGTGAACCCACGCACAAAGGCGGCAACACCCTAGATTTATGCTGGGCGTCCAGCAACCTCCATAGGGCTTCCACCAGCATAGAAACGTCACTACACACGACATCAGACCACGAATCTCTACTTACCCGGGTCCCCTTGGCCCTGATCGATTCACCCAGCCAGACGCCGGGAAGGTTTCGGCTCGATACGATGGACGAGGAGCTTTTCCTCGGCATCATTAAACGCAACTTACAACCCATGCGCCGCACTATAAGTAACATCCAAGACCCATAGTCTTTAGATCTCCTAGCATAATAGCTTACGGACTGTCTTATTAAAGCACTCACGGCTTCCACAAAGCGCACGCTCGGGAAAGGTATAGGGAGACTATACTGGAGCGAGAGCTGCATACGTAAACACCGAGCCTATGCGAGTAAGCGAGCGATATTAGTAAGACTCCGCGCAGCCGGAGTGAACTGCTAATGGGAAGAAAAGGAGGTCAAAGTTCTAAAACAGGACTTCCTCTACGAATTTAAACGCTCCAAGGATGCCTTTTGGAAAGATAAGATCTTCTCAGCCTCCTCAAGCAAAGACATATTTGAAATGGTCGGTTAGTATAAAGCCACAAGATCCTTTCAGACCCCGCTACTCCGAGATGTAGACAACCAAGACACGCTTGTCTCACAACCAAAAGAGAAGCGCGACTTATTTACCCGCGTCCTCCTTAGAAACGCTGCAATCTCTGAGGACATACTAACAGAAAGCCCAGTCCTACAAAGGCAAGCTACGCTTCCTTTCCCGCAGGTTACGAAGGACGAGGTACGGTCTTCGGTTCTCACCGCGGGAAACACGACTCCTGGGACCGACGGAATCACTACGACTACTTTAAAAATAGCATGGCCAGTTATCGAGGATATTATCCTCTCACTTTATAGCGGGTATATACGCGAGGGTTAGTATCCTACTTGTTTTAAAGAAGTAACTCTCGTGATCCTAGCAAAACCGGGAAAAAGAGATAAGACACTCCCGCGCTCCTATAGGCCAATTGCACTCTTGGCCGTCCTCGGAAAAAGCTTGGAGAGACTCATCGCTAGACGACTTACCTAGATCGTAGTTAAACATCGTGTTCTGCACGATCAACAGTTTAGAGCACTCCCTCTTCGCTCTTACAGCGACCTCATCGCAGCGGCCATCTACGATATCGAGTACGCCTGGCAAAGAGGCCTGGTTACCTCTATACTTACGCTCGATATAAAAGGGGCTTTCGACGCCGTGCTCCCAGGACGACTAGTCCGACGCCTCTACGAACAAGGATGGCCGGAGAACCTCGTACACTGGGTCTCAAGTTTTATTACCGGAAGGAGAGCAAGAATAAGGCTTAATGGGGAGGTAGGAGACGTCTTCGGTCTCGAATACGGACTACCATAAGGCTCACCCGTGTCTCCCATTCTATTCATGCTCTATATTAAACCTCTTTTTAAGCTAGGCATAGCTCGCCTAGGAAGGAAGCGATCTCGTTTCGGCTACGCCGATAACGTTGCTATCTTAGCAAGCTTAATATTACTAAAGAATAACTATGACATCCTAACCAAGGAATGGAAAGAAACCTTAGGATGGGGCGCGACGGAAGGAATCACTTTTGACCTCGATAAGTCCGAACTGATCCACTTCATTAAGAAACGAAAAGACGGAAACCCATTAATTACAGTAGGTTTACCGGATAGGAGGTATTATACAGTTTAGGCTATCAAAGAAGGCTCTTCTCTACGCTAGCTCGGCGTTTACTTCGACCGTAAACTTACATTCAAGAATCACGTAAAAAACCTCTCTACAAAAGCATACTAAGTAGTTAATGGACTACGGGGACTAAGGAACACTATCTAGGGCGCGCCTACGTACTTACTTCGTCGAGCGATCACCTCTTGTATATTACCCACTCAGTACTATGTATCTGAAGTATGGTGGCCCGGCAAGAGCCGGATAAAGAATGGACGTACTATTTTAAACGGGGTTGGTAGTCTGCTATACTAACTGGACGCGACGTAAACCAAAGCCATCAGAGCGATGGTCCCCGTATATAGAACGACGCCTATACCGATCCTATAGCGCGAGGCGGCTCTACCCCCAGCAGAGGTGATACTGGACGCGAAGCTCCACATAGCGTCCACCAGAATCCATCGTCTGGACGAGCGACACCCTCTCCGAACGAGACTCAGGGACAAATCAGGACCAGACTCACGGCTACGACGAATGGCAAGCCTCGTAAGCAAAAACACCGAATACATCGATCCGTTAAAACTCCCCCCTTTGGGAGCAACTAGCGGACTGGCAGACAGCCCTCGCCAGGGTCGGCTACGAACCTAATAAGACCAAAGAAGAACAGGCCCTCTCCTTTGCAGGCAGGATGGCAACTTTCTCCAAGCGGGACATTATTATCTACACTAACGGGTCCCAGATGTCGGACGGCAGCAGCACCTCCGCCGGAGCAGGCTGGGTAGGGTACCAAGCTACACGGCAGATCTTCCGCAGATCCGAACCACTCGGCTCCCAAACTGAGGTGTATGACGCGGAGGCACATACTGCGTATCACGGCCTGATGGAAGCCACCCGGGCTCCTACGGCTCGTATGGCAGATAACGTCCACATCTGCCTCGATAACCTCGCAGTCGCGGCTAGACTATACTCCCAGAGCACAGGAAGCAGCCAGGCTAGATTTAGGGCCTTCAATAGGCTCTCTTCCTCCTGGACTCGGAGACAAAGAGAGAGCTGGACAACCCCCGGCAGGGTTTATGTTTGGTGGTGCCCTGGGCACACGGGAGTACCAGGAAATGAAGAAGCGGATGCTCTAGCCAAGGAAGCCTGCAAACTAATCCCAAAATCACAACCACAGCCCTCATTAGCGCACCTAGAAAGGCAAGCTAAAGCAGCTGCCTTCCAAGCCTTTGCCAGAAAATGGCTGTCCCAATGCCCTCGGCAATATGCCGACCTCGAGATAATTCCTCACCCCAAGCCGCCCGAACTCCGCCTCCCTCGGCACTTACTAGGAAGGCTATACGCAGCAAGATCCCATCATAGAGACTTTATAGCATACCACGAGAGATTCGCTCATCAAGATGCGTTGCTCAACTGCAGCTGTGGGAAACCCAAGACACCAGTCCATTTCTACTTCTGCAAGCGTGGACGCAAGGCTACACCGCGCTACCTCCGCCAACGTATGGCTAAAGCAAGCATTGATTTCTTGTTAGGTTCTGCTAAGGGAGCCTCTCTTCTATGCGAATGGATAGAGGAGACTAATTTCTTTTCCGAAATTTGCCCGAGTCATTGAATAGGAACGTTAGGTGAAGACGGTAGCCTGTAATATAGTTTAGATTAGTATAGACCATGTCGGCATTGTGCCCGGCACGTCCTTTTGTTACCAGACGTTAAATACATCATCATCATCATCACTTGTCTCCTGCATTTTTGAACAGGAACGTTAGGTGAAGACGGTAGCCTGTAACATAGTTTAGATTAGCATAGACCATGTCGGCATAGCTGTCAGAGCCCTCCCGGATAGGGGCTAGTTAGAGGTAGTAAGGAGTCCAAGCAACAAATGGGCAGCTCAGATATATATCCAGCGCAGGGAGTACACGTCGAGGGAGGAGCAGATTTCAGTAATTCATCATTCTACCCCTAACTGCAGTTGGCCTCTGAGAGCTTCCACCCTGCGTGAACAATCCCAACTTGACAATAGCGCCCGGCACGTCCTTTTGTTACCAGACGTTAAATACATCATCATCATCATCATCAGCATATATGGTGTGTTGTAACCGCCGCGAGCCTGCGGGGCAGGCCCTGTTCTTGGTCATGCATGTTGGGTCGTAACAGGTAATATAACCTTACTAGTCCTAAGGGGATAATTAGTAACCTTATTAGGGATTAAACGGCTTATTAAAGAGTATATATATCGTTAATATAAAAGATGGTAAAAACGGGAGGTAATATCCTAATATACTCAGCTAGGGCTTAGAGTTACCCTCGCTCGCCCCTTAGAACTAGCCCTATTACGGGCTATCCTTTATTATCTCCTAGCAGCCCGATTAGGCTATAGAGACTTTGAATAATACTATTAACGCTTTAATTATATAGAAGTACTACTTACTTACTCCTAGGGGGGGGAAAGGGGGTAGACTATTTTGTCTATTAACTATTAATAGACCCTAATAAGGAGGTGTTAGTGGCCTACCCTCCACCCTTCTAGCCCACTTAAGCCTATAGGACCTCTAGGATCTCTAGAGCGGCACCATAAGGGGTTAATTACTAATCCTATAAACCTCCAGGCCTTCCTCTATATAATGGACTTCTTTTAGAAGATCTGTTCGTAGTATTAAGGACTAGGTTTTAACCTAGGCCCTATAAACGAATCTAACCTCTTAGAGGGGTAGATAGTAACAACGGAACCAGGGAACCAGCGGGAACTAGGAACAGATAGAACACATAGCAGCCTATAGGCAAGACTTAGAGGACGATAGAAAGAGGCGTGTACTATAGAGTATATAGCTTGAGCCTGCGGCCCTCTACGCCATATACCCCTCGGGAGGTCGGGCGCAAGAACGGCAGCGCCTTTGCCGCCACGGCGTTAAATACAACAAGAACAACAACAACAACAACAACAACAACAATACTGGTGATGGCCTGATTGTCTTCGATGCTCTCAACAAAGCTGCTGAGGCCGAGGGCATCCTGATCCCCTCTCTCTCGACACTTGGATTCACTGCCAGCGACATCAAACATCTTGTCATTACTCATGAACATTTTGATCATTATGGAGGGGCCCGATGGCTCCAAGACAACTTTTATTTCTCCACATACGCCTCGGCTACGGCTTGGAAAACTCTATCGCAATTTCAGGACGGACCGATCAAGGACAAAACCATCTCGGATGGTGACCAACTGACGATCGGCAACGTTACGTTCAATTTCTTCGTGACACCGGGTCATACGCCGGGCACTGTGTCGACAATCTTTGAGGTATCTGATAACGGCGCAAAGCATATCGCTGGCTTCTATGGCGGTGTTGGCATTACAAGCAGTGCGTCAGCCAAAGACCGGCAAGTCGTGTCCTTGAACCGGTTCGCAGACCTGGCAAAGCAGGCGGGTGTGGATACACTCATTGCCAACCACCAGAACCAAGATCGTGCGCCCTATCACTTCGATCTCCTGGCTCACAGACCAGATGGTACTGAACACCCATTTGTGATAGGCACAGACGCCTTCGATCGATATCTGAAAGTGTCGCAGCGCCACACGTGGCGCTGCCGGTTATGCCGTACGATACCGCTTTCTACAAGCCGATTACCCGTCTTGTACGGTACATAGATATGACCCTCATACGGATCTTCCACTTAGAGGAATCAAGCCACTTTCTACTATACATGTCTTCCACTTGCTACCTCGCTTTGTGATAGAAAGTGAATAAACTGTGTGTGAGGATTAAGGCAGCTAGAGATGGGCAGTTCCTACAAACCTAGGGATAGCCCAACACAGAGAATCTCATTCACAGATTCATGAAATATCTTTACTCACACATCTCATACTCTCGATGTTTTTCCTGATTAGTTGTACTTGTATTGGTCTGTGTGCTCAAAAAAGTTAAGGTCCCTAATTATTCACGAGAACGTAAAATGACGAACGGAATTCGGATGAACCTCTTGGCATCTCATGCAGGCAAGCTTCCGCTGATGGACCAGTACACATTGTAATTGAAACCTTGAGCATCGTAGAAGGGACCAAGGTTTACACTCTTGCCACCTGCCGTCGCTGTAAAAGCCAATCCAGTAGTTCCTGTTCGCTTGACGGTAGCCAAGTTCAGCGCTGGAGTGGTAGAAAGTGTTTCACTTGCGTAATTTCCACTCAGAATTATAGGACCGTAGGCGAGTGCGGCGAGGGTGGGGTTATCGTTTGCAGGGATGACTTGCAGCTTCATGGGCAGCTTCACAACCACAGTATCGCCCGAGACCCAAGTTCGGTCGATGGACGCGTATGTTCCGGCGACACTGCTTATCGCTTGGCCATTCACGATCACTTGAGCTCCCGAAGTCCATGCTGGAATACGGACACGCATGATCCATTTGCCAGCACCAGTGACTTTCAGAGTCGTTGTGTCACCGCGGGGAAAGTCGGTTGTTTGGGTGACAGTGACGCTGCGCTGTGTCCATGTCAGAACTGAGGGAATGAACAGATTAACATAGAGCGCATAGTTGTCGTAAAAGTAGATGGAGTCCATGAGTTTCGTGTTTGTTTCCAATCCAGTTCCTTGGCAACACCAGAAGGAGTCATAGTCGGTACTCCAGGTTCCTCCACCCCAGGCTGGGCCGACGCCACGACGTCCACCGGGGTTCAAAGGAGTGAAGTACGTGATATGGCCATGACCATCAGATGGGTTTTGCTGGCCCAGCAAATGATTGAGTAAAGCACGCTCATAGAAATCAAAATAAGTTGTCGCGCTTGGGTTCGTCAACCAAAGCTCTCGCGTGAGCTTGAGCATGTTGTACGTGTTGCAAGCCTCACATGTGTCCTGATTCAAAAACCCAGCGATAGCATTAGGGAGCCTAAAGTGCTCTGCCTGGCTGTTACCGCCGATTGCGTACGAATGCGCGCTGACGGTGATGTTCCACGCGTTGCGAGCAATATCCTGGTATCGACTAGTCCCCGTCGCTTTGTACTCGCGTGAGGCACCGATCCACTTTGGAACCTGAGTGTTTGCGTGCAAGCCGTTGAGGCTGTCCTGGTTCGAAGCAAGAGGATCGAAAATGGCGGCATGGTCAAATCGCTGTGCGACAGTGAGCCATCTTTCATTCCCGGTTTGGTGGAAGATATCGGCCAAAACTTCATTCATTCCTCCAAACTCTGTAGCCATCATGGCTTGCATCTGGGCATACGTGAGCTTTTCCGTGCGAGAGTCGACCCAGGCCGCCATAGCGAGGAGTACGTCTCGCGCGTTGGTGTCACCGATGTGGCGCCAAATGTCGAGCAAGCCAGCCATGGTCTTGTGAATGGCATAGTAGGGAACGTTGCCGTTGCTGAGAGTGCGGTTTTCAACGGCGGTGATTTCGGACTCGGGAAAGCCAGAAAGATAGCCAGTGGTAAAGCCAACTTTGCTGTTGTTGGCTTGGCACTTCTTCAGTTCGGCAGCAAAGTAAGTGGCCCTACTTTTGCATTCGGCGTCGCGTAGCTGGGCGTAGCAAAATGCCCATGCGTTCAGAAAGTGGCCTTGGAAGTGAGTTCTGAATGGGAAATCCGGGGCATCCCATCCGCCATTTGTTGCCGCGTTGTTTGTGGACAACCCATGGTTATTGCGGAAGTTGTACAGCAAGCGCTCAACATCGACCCATTTAAGGTACGTCAGAGTGCGAGCCTGATTGTCGAAGAAGCGTCCACTGCTCAATGTGACCTGGCTCATGTCGAAGGCCCAAGCCGAGACACCCTTCTCTTGATTGACAGGAGGCATGGCTTGTGCGGTCACGTCCATGACGGACGATCCCACAACTATCGCTAAGGACGCTAGGCCTCGCAGGATTTCTGTCGTAAACCACATGATGGCGACGATTCGGGCCAAAACTCTGCACGGAAGTTTGGTAATTATTGAAAGTTCAATGAAGGCCCGGAGCTTTGAATGCCGACAACGCTTTGCCAATGTGAATCAGCCAAGAGGTGCCGATGAATGTTTTATAGTTATCATTTGCTAAGTAACATCGGATCAGCCCGCCGCCCTGGTACTTTCCCATTAGGAACAACAGCGTCCCTACACGAGGCAACCCTCGTGATACTGTATGCCCCACCACCAACTCGTTCAACGACTGGTGCGCATGATCGGTTGCGGAGGTGAGGTTACACTCATGAACTGGTTGTATTTTAATCGTAGGCTTATGCAGGCTGGCCCCTGGTTCGCCTTCCCCGCACGATAGAGTGGATGCTGGCAACAACTCGATTGGCGCGGTACTCTCAAGCTTTCCTCGTACTTGAGGATCTGCCAAGATTCTCAGCCTAGCAGGCGAGCCGCGAATGGGGAATAGAGTTAAAACCATTGTTCCTTTGTGACCACCACATCCTAGGCGCTGGAATCACAAAGTGCTAATGTAGCGCAGGCCGTCTTGAGGGCGCATCGTGTAACTTGTTGGCCGAAAGGAGATCTGCCCATTCCATCAAATTGCTGTGATTCACGGCTATTCGGTCGACTCACGGTGCCGGCATAGCCGATTCAGTGATGGGATGGATGCTTCAGACGAACGATAATTGGGACGCATGACCTTGGTATTTATTCTCGAGTTAGCCGCTTTGTGTCAAGCCTACTCGGCTGAGTACTTGAGGCGACTTCGTCCCCACAACCTCTAATCGGGCTGCTACGACCCTAGATCGGTCGGGAGAAAAGGTCTGGGTTGCAAGTCAAGCGTGTTAAAAAGGACATCTCTTTTGGGAGACTGGTGGTGCCCTACGTGGGCTGCATATCTCACCAAGGGCACGTGCAATTTCAAAGAGACCAGAGTGAACCCCTGACGGCGGGCACTTGTCAATATGATACTGACGAGCAGAAATTCGCCGAAGTCCTCACATACCGGCTGTACACTCGGATCATTCTTCCCCGCCAACCCCTCAACTTGATGCGTATCCAACGATATTAATGACTGAGACAACACACATGTTTGATTTACGACTTCTTCAATTCACTGTATCATGAATTGGTAATTCTTGCAAAGGCAAGTATGCCTACGCTCCCAAAGATTTGAGTCTTACCACACGCCGATGACTAGGTGGACATTGTAGGAGATGCTTTCGAAGAATAGTAAGCCCAAAAAGCTGCTTGGCAGAACAGCTCCTGTTGCTTGAAAGATGTATCAAAATACAAGATATGGAATGGAAGATGTATGTAGTACAATGTGGCATCCTTGATTCATCTGCGTAGAAGAACCAAAGAGGGTCTTATGCATAGATTAATGTAAATGATAAGCTCTCGTATCGTATTTAATCGCAAAAACGACGACGTTAATTGTGGGCAGCAATTAACGCTATATATACCCTAGGACATCTTCACCGTTGTCTTGCGATATTGGTTCTCTACCTTAGTAACTAACGTCGCGCCACATGCAGCGTGACGACAACTGGCAATATCGTAACCCCTAAATAGCAGTATGTGCTCGCAAAGATCCCATTGATTAGCCGTTAATGAACCAGAGCAAAGACTTGGATGAGTCAAGGTCGATCCCAATTCCAATTTGCGTCTCAGTGAGATGTCAATGAGATGGTCACACTGTGGCAACGCAAGAACCGCCGCACGCCATCATAACACTACTGCGCCTCCAACTCATCTGTTCATCTGATAACCCTATTTCTTGCTTACGAGTTGAAGCCCATAGGCTCTTAAATGATGTGCTTAATAAATTGCCTCCCATCAACGTAACTATTAGTGCACTTATAGACTGTAATGCAACCAGGTCTCAGCACCGCATTCCTTTAAGGGCGGTAAATTCACAGGATAAGACCCCAAGTAGGCTACGTCAATAGTCGCAATATGAGCTAGGATTCAATTTTGTGTGAGGGCTTGGCAAGTGACATCACGTCCTCCAAACTTTATCCACCTGTATTGGAAATACTTATTAGATTCTGCGCCAGCGGCCAACGTCTTCTTCAATGCCTCAAGAAATGCCGAAAAGATCTTTCATGGTGGTGGTCAAGCACTAGTTAAATGATGTAAACACGTCATTTCAGTAAAATAGCTCATGGATTTCACGCCCCAGTTATCGGCAAATGTCAGAAAGTCCACAAACAGAAGGAATTAGGGGAAGGCCCTCTGTTGGTATTCCTTTCACAGGGAATTTGGTTCGAACCGTAGGGTCCTGGGGATGACGAAGTATCAATATCTCTGTATTGATTGATTCTGCGTAAGGAGTAGAAAGGAGATTCCAACCGGAGGTTGGGTGGGTAATCGAGGTCTAAGTGTACCCCCTCGAGGTGGCCCATGCTCTGCCCCTACTCGCGGCCGAATTGGACTTCCAATCCGACACCCTCCATGGAATGTAAATTACACGCTAGGTCAATAAACCAAGGATCTTCTACTACTTCTGAATAGCTGATTCACTCTAATTCTAGGGGAGACAACAGGGCATCAGCAACCAATTTTTTGACTT